ATATATTAATAATTTGAATAAATAAAATTTGATTTAGAAATGAAAAGTACTTATTTTATAGTTTTAAAAAATATTCTTTTATTATCCCTTTCTATAGTTTTGAATTTCAAAATATGTCCTCCAGTTGTCGGAAGTTACGATAAATTTGTAAATTGATATCCTCATTTATTCATCATTCAATCTAGATTGTATTATCAGATAAAAGTTTTTAACAAGACTAAACAGTATAATAACAGTTCATTATATATATATTGATAGTTCTTTGTTTAAAATATTATTATAATCTTAATTGTCGCACATCATTTATTGATTTTTGATATTTTAAATGAATCTTTCCATAAATCTTAGTGAAATTTTTTATTATAGAGCATTTTATGAATCCATTTACTTATATTCTTAAATTTAATTTATTATCTTTTATAAGCTTATTTTTTCTAGGAAAAAAAAAATTTAATAGAATTAGAATTTTGAGTAGAAAAGAATCCATTATTAATGATAATACATTAAAAATTTATTTTATGTTTTCCTCAAGGAAGATTATTAAAATTGGAATAAGAAAAAAAGCAGAAATACCAATTACTATAACTGAAGATGAAGAGGAATTATACTTTCAAGACTTGGGCTAATAGAAATAATTTGAAGAATCGCTATATTTTGAATTCAAAAGAATGAGAATTTCTGCAGAAACAGATGAACTAGTTAGTTACAAAAAAACAAAGAAATAATAATAATAAGGAGAAAATTTCATGTTTCTCTATCAATAAAATCATCCAATAATTGAAGAAACTATTAATTCTAAATCAACTAAAAATAATTCTGATTAATAGGAGATTTAGATTAACTAAGATAATACTATATCTTCTTCAGATTAATAAATAGAAAAATTTAATATTGTTAAAGTTGACGAAATTGATTATGTTAATTAATTAAGTTTCTTAAAGTAGCAAGCTTGTAAGGATGTAACCAGATTCAAACCAAAAACATTTAAGAAAACTAAGCTTGATAATCTTAAAATTAAAAACAAGTTAATCTCAAAATGATTATAATGTTAATAATATTTCTAAGATCTTTTGTTTTTTCTTAAAGATATTTATCTTGAAGAAGATTTTTTTTTGTTTTGAATAAGATTTAAAAGTCTACTTAATTTAATTTAGAATCTAAATATGATTTTATTAATAATAAAAATTATATTAATCTCAGATATTATATTCTAATAATTGTGTTTTTATAATATTGATATATAAAATTAATTGATTGTAAATTTAATGTTAATAATTATGAGTTATGAACTCAAATGGGATGAAATCTTCTTTTCTTTATCAGGGCAGATTTTACAATTAACAATACTAGAAATTAGATTTATTATTTTAATAACACAATAAGAGTCTAACCAAAAACCTTATTCAATCATAATATGCAAATAAGATAAATAACAATTTTATGAATTCAGTAAACATGAAAGTAGTCAATTGGAAACTTATTAAAATACATATAAGATTTTTGAAATTTATTTTTGTGTATCATAGTTTCTATTTGTTGAGAAAGGCAAATTTAGCTATAAATTATGAAAAATTCAGATGAGTAAAAGAAACAGAGATTAATACGAATATCTAAAATATAATTTAAAAAATCCAAATACAATTGTTTTTATAAAGAATCAGCAAATTTATCTAAGAGATTAATTTAAATTTAAATATCATGTGTTTATTTTAAAATCAAAGTGCAATTAGATTTGTATGGAAAGAAAAAAAGATTCAAAATCTACTGAGAGTAATTGATACTTAGGCAGTCAAAATTAAATAAAAGTAGAGTAATTAGGTATTAGATCAAAAATATACAAAATAATGTAAAAAAATCATACATTAAAACAATAATATAATATCTATTTTATTAGAATTTCTAAGAAAGAGATAATTTAGCTAAAAAAGAATAGAGTGGTTGAAAAATCAGAAGTACTCTTATTAAGAAGCTAGAATAAATAGCTTTACTCTAATGATTATAAACAGAAAAAGTTTATAAGATTATCAAATCTCTAATGATCCTGAATCCACTTTAAATAGAGGAGGTGAATTTGAATGCATTAAAGAGAAATTTTGAAAATTTTATTTTTTTACTGATAGTATTAGAAATTGCTTTTTACAATTTGGCAAAACCTCAAGTTAAGCTTAATTTTTCAGTTTAAGACTATCACAAATCATTATCTAAAATAGAAACTTATAAGCAGATGTCACAGGATAAAGCAATTACTAGGGATGGAAGTTCGGAAACAATTTTGGAACAAATTAAATCTTTTGAACTACTTCAAGATACAGATATCTATCTAAGAATAGCTTGACTTTTTCATTAAATAAAGCTTATCCAAACATAAGTCCACAAACCTAATTTAGATTTATCATAGTGATGAATCCACTCTATAAGTCTTTGGAACTTCGATTTGCTTCACAATATCAGACATAAAAATAGAACAATTAATAGTTTATTATGTTAAATTAACATAGAATTAATTATAATTGAATTTAAGTATGCAACTAAAGAGTAGAAATTCGATACTGTTTTCACTGACTTTTTAAAGCTTACAATATTAGTAAAAAACTATTTATGAAATTTTGAAAATAAGGCAGATCTTCCAGAGTCATTAAAAAAAGAAATGAATAGACCAATAACATTTGCTAAATGAAATGTATAAATATTTGAAGATTTTTTTTATGATAATATGATAATATAAGTGAAAAATAAAATAGTAAAGGCTTGAAACAAAGATAAAGTTTATTTAACTTATAATAATGGAGAGAGAAATTAGATGTGAATAAGTGAGAATAATTATAATTTTTGTGTCTAGTCCCTTAACAGGGATAAATGATAATTATTATTATCTTTTAACTTCTGTATGCAGGATAAAATAGACGAAGAGGCGATTTAAACCTAGTGTGCAAATTTCTTATTTGTGTACCCAAATAATAGCTTGCCAATTTTCAAAGGGTTTTTTATGCCTTTAAAGAACTCATATTTATCAGGCCCATAATCAGTAGGTTCCAGAAGGTTCATCTCATATTTTACAAGAAAGACCTTTTGTAAGAGCTGAGCACTTAAAAATAAAATCTTCTCCTTAGCATGACTAACTTAAGTATCCAAGAGAGGACGAATCAAAAGCACTCTCATCTGAAGTAAGTCAGAGAGAATCTGAGACGATTGAGTAAATATCTTAGAGCAGTATTTTCCATTGTCAAAAGGAAAGATGATGGGGTTTTCATTTTTTAAAATATTATTATTATTACAAGTATTATTATGATTAATATTATAATATTTATATTTAAATTACTCTAAAATGGTATTAAATAAATAATCTAAATTAATTTAATAATTTTTAATATCTATAATAAAATATACAATCTGTTTGAAAGCTAAAAAACTTATTAATGTATATCGCGTATTTATACTTCAATCCCTTTTAAATTTAAAAACAATAATATTATTATATTAAAAGAGCCAACTAAGAATATGTATGTATCTAATTTTACAAAAGTACAAAGTTTGCTCATTATTTGATAATTTTTAACTGATAAATAGAAAGTATAATAAAAAATTAGAGAATAATAATTAAATGATCTTAGAATTCATAAACTCATTTATTTGGAATGATGTAAAACTGAGAATGAAATTAAACTGTAATAGTTGAAAACTAGTAATTAAAGCTTGAATTATAAAATATTTAACTTTAATCTATATTAAATTTTCCTCTGAATCATACGTAAATGAGAATAAGATTAAAAATTTATTTTTATAAATATCAACCAGATTCTTAATATGGAAAAGGAGATATTATTTAAATATTAAAATTTTCGTATAAACAACTATGGAAGCTGAAAAGGTTAATATATGGTTAGATTGTGATGTTGGTAATGATGATGCAATGGCAGTCATTTTATCTTTGTTTCATCCAAAATCTAATCTGCTAGGAATTTCTACATGCTTTGGAAACACTAGGTAAAAAGCTTGCCAAATATATAGCCTTGAAAACTGTACAAATAACACTATTCGATTACTTAGTTCAGTAGGACGAATTGATGTACCTGTATATAAAGGAGCTGAATTTTCTTTAAAATCTACAAGAGCTACCACTAAAATGCATGGAACATAAGGTTGATTGATTAATAAATCTACATTAGGCTTGTATGCAGTTGATAAATTGATTTCTTCTTTCAAGCCCATAGAGGACATAGATTTATATGATCTGATGAAATAGATTGTAGGAGATAAATAAGTATGAGAAGATAATAAGCTAGTTTGTTATAGTAATAACAGGTCCTTAGACTAACATTGCTAAGTTATTGAGAGATCACGATGACATTATTCCTTAGATTTAAGAAATTGTGTTTATGGGTGGAACATCAGGATTTGGAAATGTAACACCTAATTCGGAATACAATATTTATTCGGATCCTGAGGCTGCCCAATTTGTAATAGATACATGCAAATAGCATTCATTAAAATTAGTAATGATTTCATTAGATTTAACATACGTACCATACAATAATTTATAAAAATATTAGACATGTTAATTAATAGAACCAATTTAATAAAGAATAAAAAATATAAACACTAAATTCTCAGATTGGTGTTTGGAAATGCTTAAGGAATATTAGGCTGCTTATAAGGCATAAGAATTTGATTATCCTCCAATTCATGATCGTAATATATATTATCTTAAGATTAGCTGTTGCTGTATTTTATGCATTACATCCAGAATTGTATGTTATAAAACCTTTTTTTTGTGCAATTGACTGCGAATCAAAATTATGTTATGGAAGAACTGTTATTGATAAAAAAGGAATTTATGGACTTGAGCCAACTGTATAGTTTGCAAGAAAAGTAGTTGTTGATGAATTTTGGAACTAAATGATTGAAGCCATTAAAATCGCAGCAAAGAATTCAAAAATTGAATGATTTTGTTATAATTGTTTTATATAATAATACATGTTTATTAATAAAATTTAATTTTAATGGCATAAGCTTAAGCATTAGCTGGAGAGAATTATGAATTTAAAGCTGCTCCAGAAGTTGTGAAACCAAAACCTAAATACAGATAATAGCCTTTGTAATCTTCAGAAGATTAAAAAAATAGGTTGGTAAATAATAATTATATTAAGTTCATTATTAGGATGCAATATTATGTATGATAAAAGAGTTGTTAGAGGAAATACTTATGCAAGTGTATAAACATTAGGGGATAAGAAATTAATGACACTTAAATCATTCAAAAAACCATAATAAAAAGCGGTTACATATTAAAATAATGATAATAGACTTAATAACCATAAACAACATATTTACATCCTAGTACTCCTAGACCATTTTAAAATCGCGTTAATATAGATATCTAAACTGATGAATATTTAGAAATATTGAGAGATAAACCACCTGAATAAGAAATGGATGCATAAACAGACTATTATATAGATAAACCACCTGATAGATTATTTGTTCCAAAGAAGAATGGTATTGATAAAGTATAAATACCTAAAATAGTAAGGAAACTTAAATTTGGGAAGGAGATCTTTTTGATTTTGATTAGGAAGTAGAACCAATTTTATAAGTCTTAATGAATAAGATATTGGAATAATCAAGAATGGAAGTTTTAGAAGAAGAAGAAATTAAATTAATGAAGGAGTAATAGAAATAACATGAAAGATAAAAGACTTCTGTTTTATCTGAAATGCAACGATTAGAGGCTGTTTAATAAAGATTAGATTAAGAGGATGCAAGAAGAAAATTGCAATATGAAACCTTTTTAAAAATATAAAAGTAGAGTCATTAAAAAATTGTATGCAGAAATCTATCAAAATCACTTATAAATCCTCTTAAATAAAATATAATTAAAAAATTATAAGACTTAGGTGTTTTTCGAGATCCATTAGAAACTGCTTTATTATATGAGTATATTCCATGGGTTTATGATAATGTGTTAAGTTAATTAGTTGATGAAAATGATAATTATACTAATTTTAATAGTAATTCATTAAGATTATTAAGATATGTTAAATAATATCGAAGAAAATATTACTATTGAGCATTCAAATTCATTAAAAAGAAGACAATAACACATAGATGACAAATATGAAGAAATTGCTAGAAAAAAGAGAGAGAAGATTGAAAAAAAAAGAATGGAAGAGGAAAGACGTCTTAAAGAAATTGAAGATTAAAGATTAGCTGAAGAAGAAGCTGTTAGATAGGCAGAATAAGAAAAATTGGATTAGTAATAAGAAAATTAATAATAATAATTATAATCATGATATTAAATAAATAATTTAATTATTTATGTAAGAATAATTAGAAAATATTCATGTCATTTAAAAAATATATTCAGCATAAGGAAATACTTATGAAGAAGTCATTTCCAATTTTAATAATCTATAAAAGTAGCATCTTACAAAACTATTTAAATATATTTCTAATGAAAATGAATTAAATTAATTTTAATTAAAAGGATCTGTCATTGGAGTAGATATTGAACATACAAATGAAATTGGATTTGACGGATAAATCAGTATTGTATAAATTAAGGATGATGAAGATGTATATATTTTTGATGTGATTGAAATTGGATTAGAAAATCAAAAATTGATAAATGTTTTAAAGTTAATTTTTGAAGATGATAAAATAATAAAAGTATTTTATGCAGGAAGTACTGATGTTTTATGGTTAAAAAGAGACTTTTAAATTTATATCTAAAATTATTTTGATCTTAAAGAAATAGCAGATCTGTGTAAATTAAGTAAAATACATTATTTTATTTATAATAGAAGGAGGAAATTCTTTGATTTATTTATGGAAACAATATTGTGATCATCAAGTTTCTAAATCTTATAAAAATAATATGTAGACATCTAATTGGGCAGAAAGACCTTTAACTTAAGAATAATTAATTTATGCTGCATATGATTGCTATTATTTACCATATCTTAGATATGTTTTATTGTAAGAACTAAGTAAAATTGACATCAAATAGCAAATTAAAATTTTTTTAAAATTCAACAAAGCTGTTAATAAAGATTATAAAACACCTATTTTATCAAATTCAGAATTAGCTAAAATGATTTAAAAAGAGTACAATCTTTTAATGCAAATAGTGAATGAAACTAATGATAAATCTCCTATCTATTAATTATTATAGACTTAACCTGCTGCTGTTTAGTTGGTTTAATTTATAGCATTAGAAATAATGAAAGTAAGATAGGAGTATGCAGTTCATCATAATGATCCAGTTGAATCTTTAGAAGAAAATGAATAAGTCATTTTAATTGCTATTCATATTTATTAAAGATTAAATATTCCCAATATTTAAGATTATAAGTTGACATATCCTGACTATTAGAATTACTAAAATTAATAACATTAATTTACATTGGAATACATTTCAAAATAGATTGATAAAGATTGGAAAGTTTATTTAAAATCATTTTGCAAAGGACTTTATTAAAGTTTTATATATGATATGAATTTCATTAAATATGGATTAACTACAATATTTGAATCATTATAAGTATTACAAATACCAGAATCAAAGAATAAATAAAATTAATAAAAAATTGATTAAAAGAAATAAAAATAATCAGAATTTGTAGAAAAGTTTACAAGAAAGAAACCTGCCTATGGAAATTGTAAAATATATACAAAGGAAAATTTCTTTTTGTGTAATTGTGATGAAAAGAAAATAAGATGGTATTTGAAATAAGGATTAGCTAATTTGATATGTGAAGATCCTCCAACAATTTAGTTAAAATTTGATCCAAGTGGATTCAAAGAAGAAGGATCTGATAAAGCCTAGTATGTAACAATAGAGAGAGTTAATTAATGTGTAATATGTGGAAAAGAGAATGAACTTTTGAAATTTCATGTAAATTTTTTATTTTATTAATTTTCTAGATTGTACCAGTTGTATATAAAAAACATATTCAAGGAAAAAGATCTTATGATGTTGTTTGTTTGTGTTTAGCATGTCATCATAAAGCTAGTGCTTTAAATGATAAATTAAAAATAATTATTGCAGAAAAATATAATATAAATGCTAAATAAAATAAAAAGGATTCATTATTATTAATGGTAAAAAATCTTATTAAATCAGTAATGGCTTACAATAAGAAAAAGTAAAATTTACCTAAAGAAGCTTATTAAAAATTTTAAATATAATTTAATAATCATATAGAATAATTAAAAAATTAATAATTATTCAATTAAATAAATTAATTTGATTTGAATAATTTAAAATATGAAGATAACTTAATCAATATTAATGATGAATCATTTTCAGGATTTGTTGAATATCTTAAACTAAATGAAGAATTATTTAATAAAAATGAGGATAATCCTGATCAAGGGAAATTAATTGTTGAACAATTAAAAACAGAAGAAGAAATAGATGAATTTTTAGTATTTTGGAGAGATAATTTTTTAAGTATTAATTTAATATATTAATATAAAGATGAAATGAAACCGTAATATTTAAATGAAGCTTGGGCTATTGATCATAAATATAAAAGGACTTTTGGTGACAAATCTTAATACAATCCGAATAATTAATTATAACAGAAACAAACAGATGATTAAGATTGAGTAATTAATTTAATATCCATTTATATATTCTTATTATAATCAATAAGTAAATGAAGATCATTAAATATAAAAATTACATCATTATGATTACCAGGATGAACTATCTCTATTTTTACCTACTTTATATTAAATTCTCCAAATTGTAAAAATATATCTTTTTGTAGGATCAATAGATTCTCTATGAAATTAATATATATAATAACATACAACAAACTAGAAATAATATTAAGTATCATACTTTATACAAGAATTAAATATAAGTAAAAATTAAAACGAATCTTAATAATGTCTGTGCTTTCAATCCCCATTCTGGATTATTTAGATCATCACTTTACCACCATAACTAGAAATCAAATCTATTATATACATGGTATTATTTCATCCATAAAATATCATAAAAAATGGAAGCAACAAGACCTCCACCAACAAATTTTAAATGGAATGGTTCAAATCTATCCATAAAAATTGTGAACATAAGACCATGACAAACTAAGACCTTCAATAAGGATTATTAAAATTTTACATCTAAAAATGAAGGTTTAGCAGAACATACAAATAATGTGATCAAACCATATATAGTGAATATAATGACACCATGTTGCAAGATCTCAGGAGCATCTGGTGTTTCATCAAATTATTCTAAGTGTTTTTCTGATTATAATACAGACAGTATTTATTCTTTGTGTTCACGAACCTATAATTAATTTGGATTTTGTTAATCCATCTCGTTCATTTATTAATTTTGATCAAATTATTCAAAAATGTCATTTTTTTACTACTTAAAACTCTATTCCTTAAATAATTTTATTTTAAATGGTCTCTCTACTACATCCAAATCAGTTCTATATTCATTTAAATCATTTTCAAGAGTATAAATCTTTTAATCAAACTTCTATAATTAAGTTTGCAAATATTGATGCTAACTATCTTTTAGAGTAATACTTTATTTAATACTATTTAGGCTTCTAATTCAATACTAGCCCCAAGTTCTCTTCCTTATGGATCTTTTAATTACAATTCTAAATCTTTTGCTATTTGATCATCTATCTGTTAAATTTGCAAATATGCTTATCCCCATAAAATAGGAGAGGAAGAATTAGTCTAAATGAAAAACTGTATCGTAAGTGTTGTTATCAATGGAGGAATTTAACTTAAAATTAAGTTTAAGAATTATTTGATTACAATTCAAAATCTTAATTGAATTCTGGATTTACTCTATCATATTATTATTCTGGTTTTGCCATTTAATTTGTGACACCCAAAATTAATTATATATGACAATTTGTGTATTTTAACTTTAAAGGTATATTTTTTGCAGATAATAATGTCAAAAATAAGAATCTCGTATCAGAATAAACAGCTAATGATAAGATGATTGCAAACATGTTTCTGCTAATTATTTCTCACAAATTGTCTTATTTTAAGAGATTTGTTTTAATTATTGTTCTGCTTTCTTTATCTTTTCATTTAATATTAAACTAGCATCTACTAAAGTTTAACTAACATCTGCTAATCTGTATACTAATTTCAAATTTTGTTATGTTGGACGACATTATTCGAATATTTATTGAGCAATTTCTCTATCGAACTCTCGCTTTCCCATCATATCTAATTTATATAGTATTTCATCTTAATTGCATTATTTATCTTATTTTAATCCATTTTCTTCAAATGCCCTTAAAACAGTTTATAAATTTAACATATTAATTTTATTGATAATATAGAATTCATCAATTATTACTTTTTTATTTCCAATTTAGTTAAAAATTTGTTTCGACTGGTTCTTCCTCATTGAATTAAAGTTCAACTTTTTTTTATTTCATACTTTTATTCTTTAAAATCTTTTCTCTTCTTTTTTGAATATCCTATTTCTCATTCAATATGTCAATATCTTCATCCAATACTTCATTTTATTCTTTAATTTTCTTTAATTATTCTTCTTACAATTGCTATTGTATTTTAGTTTCTACTTCAATTTAACTAATATTATATAAATAATATTTACTCAAAGAAATCTTCAGGCAATTCATTTTAATTGTTCTTTTCATATGTGATTTAGTCAATTTCTGCAAATTCTTAATCTACTTCTTTATTTATTCTTTCAATTTATTGTCTTGTTAACTTTTATTTTCTTATTATTTATTCTGGAAATGCTTCATTCTCTAATTTATTTACATCTATTTAAGCATTTCTTTTCAATACTTATAAAGCATCTTTATGTCTTTAGCCAATTAGATGTCTTTTGAAATCTGCAAAAGTCTCATTAATTTATTCACATTCTACACACTAAAAAATAATATTTAATTATGGAATACAATTATTTTTCCTTAAATCAATTAAGCATTTTTAGGTAATTCAACTTAACTAATTTTTTATTTTCTTTTTTCTTCCATAAGCTTTTTTAACTCATCTTAATTTGACATATTTATAAATTAAACTTTATAATATGAATAATAATACTGCAATCACATTAACAATCGAATAATTAGTGTAACTATTATTGAGTCCACAATTACCTAATATTTAATAAAGTTTATAATCTTTATCTCAATTTGAAATTAGAAATAACTAATCAGAAAATAATAAAGACATTTTCTTCAATAATTAAGAGTAATCTAATCATAATCATCAGAATAATAATAATAATACATCCTTATAAATGTTAAACAAAATAAATGGATTGTAAATTGAAAATGATAATCTTAAAAATTAATTAGAATAGCATATGATCTCATAAAATAATTTACAATAATAACTCAATTAATACTTATCATAATAAAAGAAATTAAAATTAGATAATCAAATACTCTAATAAAAAATGGATGATATTCAATTATCTTATAATAATAATAAAAAACTTATAAAAAATAGACATGAAACTTCATCAAAATCTGTTCATCAAGATTAAAAAAAGATCGTTCTAGTTAAACCATTATTATTTGATTAACCATTACGTAAATTCTCAGGTATTAGTGGTGTTATATCTTAATATCCATTTAGGAACTCAAAAAGAGATCCAAATAGTGTATAAACTGCAAGAAGTAATTAATGATATTTATATTTCTTACTTAATAACTTTAATACTCAGTATATGACAAATTTTCATATAGTAAATTCTCTAATTTATTTTATATAAATGTTTTCATATTTAATTTTATCTACACTATTAGGATTAACTTATTCTAATTGGACTAGAACACCATAAATAAAAATCGACAATTTCAATTCAACTGATTCACTTGTCACTATGAATATTGATAATTTCTATCATTTAAATTATCCTAATGCATATGATTTGGACTTATATTATAGATAAGGTATAAGTAATTCAAGAAATTTGAGTGATTATGAAAAAATTAATAATACTCAATTATTAGAATAAGGATGCTCATATTTTGAAAGAAAAATAATTGTTGAAGATTAAATACAAATTCAACTACCTGATGATGGTAAGTATATTTTTACTGATTTGGCTGTTATTGGACAATCAGCATTTTTATTAAGAAATGATAATAAGATTTTCAGTTTAGAAATTGTATTTAATGGATAAGAATTGCAAGTATATCAAATGTCAGTATATTTTAGAAAATTCGAGTTTAATAACAACATTTAGATATATCAGGAGACTTAAAAGTGAATTAATATAAGAAACCTAGATTCTTATAAATAAGAGATTAATTATTTATAATATCTGAAAATGGTGCCATTAGTTTCAATTCAAAATAATGGACAAACAACACTCTACCTAAAATAAATAAACATTCAATTGAATCATTAAAAATCATTAATCATCTACATTATGATGAAATTTCTAATAGGGTTTTTGTAGTTGCTGGTTAATAAGGAGTTATTGTTTATAAACTTGAAAATGAAGAATTAAAGAAACTTTATACTATTAATTTAGATTATAATTTAATAAAAGTGTAAACAAATGAAAATAATCTATTCATATTAGATGATAGAAAAGGAATTCATTTTGTTTCTTTATAAGACAACAATTATATTATTGATAGTAATAAAAATAATTAATAAAATAGAATTTTTAATTCCAATTGAATATCCAATATCATTTGTTTATAAAAATAATTCATTTTTAATTGTTTCATAAACTGAGGATAAAGTTAGATTTGGAATTGAGATTTTGATCAATTTTAAAAATCAAGAATATTATTATAATAAATTTTATTTAGAAGACATGTAATTGAAAGATGTTTAAGAAGCAGGTGAATATAAAGTATTAATTGGTTATGATGTACATAAATTAGTGAGAACCAATATTTATCGTGGTTTTGTAGATGAAAATTTTTATCATGGAACTGATTTTATGATACCTTTATTAGAAAAAATTCAAGAATTTAATGGTATTTTATAAGAGAATTCTAATTAAAAAATACATTATTAATTAGGTCTTACTCCTCATTACTTATTTGGTTTGAGTATTAAAGAAAAGTATCCTCAAATAATATGTTCATCTTAAAATTAAATTGAATAAAGTTATATGATAGTGATTAATTCCACTTAATGTATTAATACAGAGAAAAATCCATTTGTTATTTGTTAAGAATAACATTTAATGAATTTGTCAATTAATGAAGTATTTTTAGACTTTTAATCTTAATTACTTGTGGAAGTTGTTTTAATATTAGGATTTATAATTTTCATTATATTTCTAGTATTCAGCATAATAATGTGTAGAAGATGGAGATTTGCAATAGAAAATATGAAAAAGAAAAACAAACAATATGTAAATGTGTAAGTTGGATGATTTATATATTAATTTATTAATTATAATGTGGAATATAATCTCAATTAATCCAATATGTTAGAAAAAGAAATTGGTTTCTGATTAAGAGAGGTTATTATTAAATTGTAAAAACATGAAAAAGACAATCAATAATGGAGAACCATGGAAACCATCTCATTCGTTATCTAAAGTTAATAACAAATATAGTCATTGTAAATTAATATATAAAAATTAACAAAGAGGAAGATAATAAAATCATGCATCAAAATAATATATTGTTATCTAAAATGATGGATATTTAGAAACATAATTTAAGAAGTTAGAGTTCTGGATAATTACCATTATCATTATCACATGTGAGTAATCTTAATTAACGAAAATTCGAGAAATACAAAATTAACTAAGAAAATCAAAAGTTTCTCTCTCGATTACAATCTGCTTCATCAATTTATAATAAAAATTATTGGTAACCTGATAATGAAAAGAATGAAATTTACAAATAAATTATATTAAAGAGAACAAGTTATATTTTATTATTATTATTATTTTAGAACTCAATTAAGATTATAATGATTTAGCTAGGAAATCACTTGAAAGTAGATCAACTGGAAGAATGCTTTCATGTAATGACATATCATTATTTAAGCAGCCCAATAATTTAAACGTAGATAGATGTCTGATGAATAATTTTAATTCTAACAATTACCAGAATGATTTAACATTCACACAATTATAAGTATTTTTATTTTAATAAGATTAATTATCATTTGATATCATGATTTCTTTTATTATTTAATTTTTCATCTTAACATTGTTAATTTATTATATTTCAGATTAATTATTTAAATAATATGATTAAATATAAAAGTAGAAGAGGAATCCAAATTTTATTTGCTCTTAAACATCTCATTACTGCAAGTTTCTCTTAAGATATCTATCTCATAATAATATCAGCTGTCAATTTAATAACTTTAATCATTTTGTTAAAGAGGAATCTACATTCAATTTAGAAATATATTAGAATTTTACTTCTTTTAGAATTATGTTTCTTTGATTAATAGTTTGCACCACCAATTATTGCATCTATTAATTTTAACATTAAGTTTAAGATCATAATACTGGTCTTTTATTGTTGTCGAGTAAGTTTTATTTATTTCAAAGTTTTCCAAATAATAGATTGGGTTTATTTAGGAATTCTATTTGTATCATTTATATTCTATATCTATTCCCATGTATCAATTTATTTATTTTTAGGATAGTAAATAACTAAACAGTAAGAATTAGATAACATCAGAAAGGAAATTATCATATCTAAATATAAACTCATAGTCAGATTAATAGGATGTATTTGATCTATTTAATTTTTTACCATTTGGAATTTGTATTTTAGATGATAAATAAAATATAACAAATTCTAATTATAAAGCAAAAAAATATTGTTCAAATATTAAAGAAGAAAGTTTTTAATCTTAATTATTTATGATGATTTAAAAGTAAAATTTATCTTAATTTTTAGGGCTTGTTTATAATAATTGGATAAGAAATCTATTTTTAATTCTTCAGAAGATTAGGTATCTGAATTTTAAATGAAAAGATTATAATCTTTCAGTTAAACCAGAAAAAAAGCACTTTCATAATAGAGATAATTTAGTAATTTTATTGATATATCATAAATAATAAATAAACATAAAACTAATAGAGGAGTATCTGATAGTTTCAATTAAAATGCTCTTAAATATAGAGATCCTATTACAACAAAGACATATGAAATAAAAATATATGAAATATCTTCAGGTAGTATGATTTGTATTCAAAATATTTCAAAAAAAGAAAGATAATTTGAAATAAGAGAAAGATTTAGATTTTAATCAATGCTTATCAATTCTTTTTCTCATGAATTAAAAACTCCTTTAAATTGTTCATTAGCACTTTTATAAATATTAGAATAAGAATTAAAATCTGAAAAATTATAATAATATAAATAAATTGAATAAGCATATTTAAAACCTGCAATAATTTCAAATAGAAAATTATTACATTAAATAAATGATATTCTTGATTATGCTAATTTTGAAGCATCTACATTTTAATTAAGACCTTCTTAATTTAAAATATCAACATTAATTTAAACAATAGATTATTATTTTCAAGATGAATGTAAATAAAAATAAATTAATTTTGTTGTTTAAACTTGTGATGATAGTACAATAAATAATGATTATGATAGAATAGTTTAAATTTTAGTAAACTTATTAAATAATTCAGTCAAATTTACTAAATAAAATGGATTAATATAATTCAATATTAATAGAATGGGATCAATTTATTCATTTGAAGTGTTTGATACTGGTTGTGGAATTTCTGTTGAAAAACTCTATTTAATAAATAAAATCTTATAAAATTAAGAAACTGATATCTTAAAAAGAGGAGATGAAGATTATATATAATATGTTGGACTTGGATTAAAGGTTTCAAGTTAAATTGCATTAAAATTATGTCATAAAGGTGAACTCATAATTACAAGTTCATTAAATTAATTTACAAAGGGACGTTTTTATGTATAAGATTTAAATACTTAAGAAGAGATTCTTACAATACCAACTGATGAATATATATAGATACCATATTAAAGTAAAACCAAAAAATAATGTCATTGCAGCCATGTTTTGATTGTAGATGATATTCCTTTTAATCATTTAGCATTCATTACAGTGTTAAAATATTTTAATATAAAATGTGATAGTGCTTATGATGGAATTATGGCTATAGAAATGGTTAAAAAGAAGTATGATTCTTGTTAATGTGGATATAAATTAATTTTCATGGATATAGATATGCCTGGTATTGATGGTTATTAATGCAGCAAAGAAATTTCATAATTTTTATAATAGAAGAACATTATTTCATTCATTATTATGTGTAGTGCTTTCGATAGCAAAGAAAATATTGACATAGCTTATAAATCAGGTATGAATGATATCTTGCCTAAACCAATAGATACACAACAACTTAAAAAAATACTCAGCAAATATTATTTTTGATATATATTTATATATATATTTATATTATTATTAGTATAAGTCATAGTTCAGTTACTTATGATGAAAATGGCCTTTGATTGGAAATAAGAATAGTATATATATATATATTTAATAAAATAAATGATAATTATTATTGCCACATTGATTTTATAATCCATTACACTAGCAATTTATAATGGAGTTACTGAATAAACAGATAATTACTATTTGTTAATAGATTTACTATTGATATTTGGATGTTTTGGATAGAAAATATTATTAGTTTTGCTTATAGGAAGTGTCTGTTTATCAAATGAATTATTAAATATGGATTAAGATGTAAAAACTATTTTCTAAATTAGATATTAGGTTACTATTTAAGTATGAGACTTTTATTAAGTGCTTACATTCTACTTGACACATCAAAAGTAATTTATTTCACATTTTGCCTCTTTTATTTCCTTTTTAGGACTCATTTTTACTCATAACCGTTGGCATATCTAACCATATTTGGATATTTGATCTTGATTATACGAAGTAATAATTTGAATTAATAAATAAGCTCTATATTTAAAGCATAAAACACCAAACATAGAAAAATATTAGATTGGTCAAATTTTTGATTTCTTTTAAGAATCCCTTCCTATATCTGTTTGTATTATCTAAGATGAATGTATGATATGAATTTAATATTAGAATACAAGTTCATGACTAATTAATTTAAAATTGATTATTATGGACTTACTCCTTAAATTATCAAGAATATTACATCTAAATCAAATAAAGAATGTCTAGGGACTTATTTAAATAAAAAAAAGTTTTAAAAAAAAAGATAATATTAATATCACAGTAAAAAGCGATTTGAACATTGTACTCTTGAATCATTCACTCCAACTTTGTAAGAAAAAGAATAAATTAAAAATTACTTTCCAGCTGATATTGATGTTCTTGAAGTTATTTGGGAATAATAACCAGCCATTATGTTAATATTTTAATCTTAATATGAAAAATAATAATAATAATAAATTGAAGAATTAAAATTAAGGGATTAATATAAAGATGATCTTTTAGTAAGTGTGTCACATGATTTTAAGACTCCCATTAATGGAATTGTTGCTATTGTTTAATATTTAGAATAGTATTTATATTAATAATTTATATAGAATTGTAGTTGATTAAATCGAAATTAATTATTTAATTATATTAAAAAAGTGGGCTTAATTATTGTTGTATATGATCAGTGATATCTTGGATTTTTCTAGAATTCAAAAGAACACTTTAAGATTAACTAATACAACTTTCTATATCTAAGCAATAGTCTAAGAAATTATTGATTTAGTCTCCTTATAAGCAAATCAAAAGGGTATTATTGTTTAAAAAAAGATTACATTTGGAGATAGATTGATGTATTCTGATCCTAATCGAATTAAATAAATTTTATTGAATCTTCTGAGTAATTCTTTAAAATTTACAGAAAAAGGTAAAATAGATATTGTTGTTGATTATAAAAATAGTGAAATTGAAAATTAATAAGTCAGACTAATTACAATAAGTGTTTCAGATACAGGAGTAGGTATACCTGATAATATTAAACCTAAATTATTTTAAATGTATGGAACATTTGATTTTACTAATAATGGATCAAATAAACATGGTATAGGATTGGGGTTAGTTATTTGTAAAAAATTAGTAGGATTATTAGGACCAACTGATAATATTGAATTAATAAGTCAAGTTGGAATTGGTTCTAAATTTAGTTTTGATGTTTATATTAATAATGATTAAAGAAATTTGACAACAATTACTAATTCAAAAGAAATGACTACTTTTTATAAATAAGATACAAAATAAATGTCATATGATTAAAATTCTGCTAATTAATTATTAACATCATAATTCACTATTTTTAATTAATCTCTTTTAGCACCTTCTTTACAAAATTAAAAAAAATTAAATAAAAAAACTATATCAACTCTTTAAGAAATTCAAGATAAAAAATTGTCTAATTCTATATATTAATTAAGAAAGGTTTAGAGAAAGAAAACTTAAAAAAAATCTTTAATAAAACGTGAAAATTAAGCAGGATTATTTAATTTATGCAGTGTTGAAGATTCTGATCATTCTAAATCAAAAAATATAGAATAATATCTAGAATTAAGTAGTGAAATAACACATGCTAAATAAATTTATAAAATTAATAAATAAGTAGATAATAATAGTCCCTTGAATACACCAGGATATCATATTGATAGTACAGAATCACCAGCAATCTAAAATAGATAAAGGAAACCTTTACAAATAACAGAATCTATAGATGAAATGATGAGAATGCTTTTTCCAGATCCTTGTACTATTTTAGTTGTTGATGATTCACCTGTTAATGTGATTGCATTTAGATTAATTTTAACAAAATATGATTTTATTACTGTTGAAGAAGCTTATAATGGAGAATAAGCAATTTAAAAAATAAAATTAGGTATGATGAATGATCAAAGATATTAATATATATTTATGGATTTGACCATGCCAATTATGAATGGATATGAAGCTACAGAATAAATTCGATTGTTGGTATTGATATTATATAATCAAGTATAGGAAACCAACAATCTCCTTCCAAAAAGTTATATTATTGCATTAACTGGATATGATGATTTGAAAGAAAAAGAGAAATGCCAATAAAAAGGGTTTGATGCTTTTGTATCAAAACCAATTAAAATTATAGATATAATCTCTGTAATTAATGAAGTCAAAAATTCAAAGGAACCATAAATTTGATTTTATAATAACTTATATTCTAAATTTTTTTTAATGAATTCGCGTGTTGATCATTATCAAAAGACTTTTTAAATCAATAAAAAGAACTTAGAATAGTTTGTAGAATAATGTAATTGTATGGATTAATATATTAGAAATGTTGTATGACAATTTTAAATAATTTTCAAGTGATGAAGGAGAAGATGAAGAATAAAGTAAGTAAATTTTTTGTTAATATTTTCTAGTATTTTAAGGTGACAAACTCATTTTATATTACAAAGGTCAATAATACTAATTTCCATTAAACATGATTGCATTATCTTCTTTAGAAGATGTATAGTAATTTATTATAATAGGTCTTTTCTGTAGAGAATTTCACAAAATAAGAAATTGATTCTTTATGTTGTCTATTACCTGAAGCTGATTTACAATTATTCTAAGATGTGATAGAAGGAAATAAAAATTTTCATTTTGGGAGCCCATTAAATATTTTCTTGATGAAAATGAAAAGTGGATATTTTACCAGAAATAAAGAAATTTGTGAAAAATTAGAATAGAAAATCTCAAAAAATCATTTAAATGAATACTATTCAAATCTCTATGATTGTTTTCATAAAGATTAAAATAGAATTTAGAATGCACTTTAAAGAAAGAAAAGAATCATGTTTTAAAGATCTCCATCATCAATTTCTGAGGATTATGAAATAAGTAAATAAGTGAAATTGGATGATAATGAAGAAATGGAAGATAATGGATTTTCAACATAAACATCTCAATCATAATCTTCAGCCAATGTTCAATAATATTCTTTATAGCCTCAACCTCAAATCCAATAATAGTTTATACCATCAGCATAATCCTTATTTATCATAACTCCAATAACACCATTACCACCTTTAACATCAACATCAATTGCTACAACAGCTATGACTTTGGCTTTGATGTAAGCTAAAAAATCAATAAAACTGCAGAATAAAAATCAAACATAAAACTTTTAAGAGTCTAACATTCCTAATGGATAAACCAATAAAGAATGGCTAGATTTCTATTGGAAATAAGAAAGAGAAAGATATTAAAATCCCCTTCAACCTTACACCTTTACTTGCATAGATGGTTCTAAAGTAACAGTTGCTCCTGTTGCTAAGAAATTAATATCAGGATCAAGTTAAAAGCCAAGATAACATGAATTACTTAAGAATGAAAGACCAACTTATGTTACTATATTATCTCTTGTTAGAGATGCTTCAGCAAGATTACCAAAAGGATTTGGAACAAGAGCAGATATTGTTAATTTAGTCAGAGACTCTTAATACATAAATGAAAATTTACCAGAAGAGAAAATGAGTTCTATAATTTCAGGAGCTTTAGATAGATTACATTAATCTACTGATCCATGTGTTAAATATGATTAAGAAAAAAAAATATGGATGTAATATATTATTTTAAGAATTCTAGTTATTTGCATCATGATAGAGATTCTTCTTATCCTGAATGGCAGGTTGCTACTCCAGCCAAAAATAATAGTAATAAGAAAAAAGGTTAATTTAAAGATGATTAAGAAAATTGATATTTTTGTTTGTTTGTTTTATTTAAATTATGTACAAATGTATAAACTTTCACATCCAAATTTGATCCAAAATTCTCTTTCCACTTTATGGTCTAAGTTTTCTGAATCAACTCTGTTGTGCCAAATTCATTTCATATTGATATGAGTACCTATTAATAAATATTTACCTGTAAGCATAATTTTTGATTTCATGTTCCTTCTTTTCTTTTCTTATCCAAATCCAATTTCTGATACAATTTCCATTTCCATTTCCATTTTTAGATTCTTATTCTCAATTGTCTTTTCTCACTCTTTCTTATTCTTATTCATGTTCATATTCCAATTATTACTCTTCTTATTTATTTCCCTCTTCTTCTCTGTTTTAGGTTTCTCAAATCGGCATATCAATCTGTCTATCTCTTATGTTCTTTTAGCAAATTCCAAAGGATTTTTATATATCAAACACATCATTGTGTTGGAGGGATGTTATTTCACACATACAATTCTAAGGCAACCATAAAATTTATGGGAAGGGATCAATTTTCCATGAATTAATATTCATTGGACACAAATTGAATCTCTAGAGGAGGCAATGGGCATTTATCACAATATTTATTCTTCCAATTTGGTTTGGTGGCTCAATTCATTTTAGGTGGCACAACACTTGATTGGCTTCACTTTAATTGAATCGCACTTTCAAACTCAAATTATTATTTATTTCAAGGAGGGACATAAGGGAATTCATTATTCCAAAAGGCATCATCAAATTAATTATAGTAATCTTAAAACAGAGTTAACAAGGCTCATTCATCTAAGGGTATTTCAGAATCTTATATTTAGAAATCAGGATCTCATTTGGTCTATTGGATTTTCAAGAAATTAAAGGATGGGACTTTAATTAGTATTCTAGAAAAATAAAGGATTTTCGATTATTCAAAAAAAGGCACTAAAATAACATATAAGCATCTGCATTATTAATATAAATTCTGTCGAAGTTTTCTTAAGGTTCTTAAAAAGGATTCTTATTGATCTATAATTAAGGCATCAAAATTAGTAATTAAAAAGAAAAAATCTTATTGAATAGGCTCTTAAATTATAAGGACTCTCTATTAAATTAAAAGGAAATTGTCTTTGCATTAAGTAAATTAGAAAAATCTTGGGGCTCAACAAATTTGGGTCAACAAGAGATATATTCAAAGGTAGGATCTTAGACTGGTCTACAGTAGATTATTTTATCTTAGTGATTGGTCTAATAATTATTAAGAAAAGGGCTCTTAGAAAGATTAATCTTTAGTCTGAATTTATGAACCTTGGGCATCTAGTCGAACAGGAATTTGTGGAATCATTCTCAAATGGAAATCTTAGAAACTTAGTTCTTAGAAGAGAATCATGGGGACTCTTGAAATAGTCGTTTCTCACTGGTAACTAGTAATACGGTTTTCCGCTGTTCTCAATCTTAAGTCTTGTCTCATAGGGTAGACCATTTGGTTCTCAAGAAATATTGATTATTTGGCTCAACTGGAAAAGAACAAGGTAGAAAACTTCTATGTCTTTCTGGATTGTGTCTCTCTTAGTTATATTTGGGATCTTAAAGTGTCACTAGAATTTGTCTCAAGTTTGAATCTTTTAATTTTCTGTCTCTTGGTTTGTTGGTCTGTAGATCTTAGTCTATAGTTTCTTAAGGTTCTGGAATTGAAAGAAAGAATTTAAATCTGATAAGGGAAAAGACTTTTGGGTTCTACAAGGAATCTTATCTTCAACTAAAACATGTATTTTCTGATTTTGTATTGATAAATACTTAAAAAATTAAGTTTAAATCTTCTAATTCTTCTTTAAATTCTTCTATTAACTACTACACTCAGTGAATCTATTATAGAATCCATTACTTAATAAATTAAAGGCTAAATCTTCTTGAAATCTATATTGATTTTTTCTAATTGATTCTGAATCTTTTGCTTTTTAATTTTGATAGTTTTGATTAACATCTATTTCCATTATAAAGGTTTTTCAATTTTTCTATATTTAGAATTATTAGAAATCTATATGACATTTATTAATCAAGTTCTACAAAACATACATCAGGTGAGGAATCTAAAATAAGGTTAGTTACTTAAAATTAATTAATTCTTCTTTAAAAAGAAACAAAAGTTTTCAAATCTTTTATATGGTTTATTTCTTTAGATTTTTAAGAGTTCAACTTGAGAATCAAACATTATGATTTGAACCTAAAATTAATTTATCTACTTCAATTTAATTCTGATATCTTAGTTTCAGATCTATCTTTTATTTTTAGATATAATTCAAGGGTCTTGATAAAGCACATCACTCAAGGGACGTAGCCTAATAATAATCTATCTACGTCAAATATCTAAATTTGGTTGATTTTTGTATTTTTTTAATTATGATTAAGTCTCTCAAATCTTTAAAAATCTCTTTTATCTAAAAAATCCAATAATCAGATATCAATGTAAATCAATTTTAGATTCTTTCTTTTTAATTTTCATCTCTCTTTTTTTTCTTTAATTCTCTTCTTTCAAATTCCATAGAATTTTATCCTAAAATTAAGTTAACTACATTCTTTTTCAATTTGTTCTTTATTCTTCTTCAAATTTTTCTATTCTTCCATGGTATTATAGTAAATTTAATAGCGCACTAGCACTAGATATTGGTAAAATAAGCTTGAAACAGAAACAAAGTTTGGAATCCTATTATAAAGTAATCTACTTGAATTAATATCATTTAAGCAAATTCAGGAATTCAACAAACTCAGTATTAGTTTCTGTTGGACATCAGTTGTACTAAAACATCTTATGTAAACTTCAATTGTTTAAAAATTCATACATAAAATAACTAATAAATATTGCAGGGTGATCAAAAGTAATATAATGATAAATTTCATAAAATTTATGAATTATAATAAACATTAATTTATTATATCATAAAATATCAAAAAGAAACACTTTTTTTAATATTTTACAATATAATCACTTAATACTTAAAATAAAGCATAATTTTATTTCAATTATATCATCTAGATAATAATAGTAGGCTAAAATAAAACAATAATATAATAAAGAGGTAAATTCCAAATATAATATTCCAAATAATAATAAAGTAAATAAAATATTCTATTATAAAAAGTAAATCCTATAAAAGCAATTCTTATTATAAGTTTCTAATTCTAATTATTAATAATCTTAATATTAGTTAATTAAAAATCTTATTGATTATATAATTCTTATATTCCTAAATATTTTTGAATTTCTACATTCCATCATAATTATTAATATATTATTAATTATTATTACATTCTTTAAAGAATCAATTTTCTATAAAACAATAGATAAACAATTTAAAAAGATTGGTAAATCTAAAATGACTTCGCAATTTCAATATAAATAATAATACATATTCTAAAGTTCCTATAAGAAAAAAACACTTCACTAAAAGGACAATTAAGAAAATCTTGAAAACTCTAAAGAAATTTCAATTGTTATTCAAATCTTATTTATTTCATAACAAATTGTGAAATTTTTATTAATATTAAAATGAGAAAACAACTAAAACTTTCTAGAATATCAATCTAATTGGAATCAGGCAAAATTTCTAAAATTATTATAGTAATTAGCAAATGTTCCATTTTTTCAATGAAAAGCATTTTCATAAACATATAAATAATATGGTAAACAATAATTAATAAATTTTGTATTCTAAATAGTATAAAGGTATTAATAATCTTCTAAACGAATAATTGGAGAAATAATTTAACAAACTTGGTACAACACAAAAGATCTTTATGACATATAGAGTGTTAAAATTCTTTTTTCAGTTTCACGCATCCAAAAGATTTTTTCTAAACTCTAAAATGCCATTCTTCAAAAACTTTAATACTAAACACTTTTTCTTTAAAATATATATATTCTTGTATTTATTTTGAGAAATCCATCTACAAATGAACTTAGAATCCGAATAAATATTTCAATTTTAATTTTTATAGGTATATAGATAGCGTTTATAAATGCATCCATATAATTAATATCAATTCTTTTTTCAAAGTGCACTTCTTGCTATCCTAAAATTCTTCTTAGTAAGGTACGGTATATTTCTATTGATTATTTTCAATAATCAAATTTTTCTTATATATAAAAAGCAAAAGTTTAAAATTATGGGTTTGATATTTATATTAATTCCGAATTGATCGGTATAAAATGAGATATTTTAAGTATAATATAATTAATAAATAAAATAATGATTAAGCTAATTTATTGATTCCTTGAAATAGTTATTTAATAAATAAGATGGTTTCATTTCAATTTAATTTACAGACTTTTTTACTTATATTTTAATTATAAATATCAAATAGATATGAATCATCATGCTTTTGTGATGTTTAGTAACAAATGATAATATCTTTAGTTATTTTTTCTTTGAATTAGTCTATATTAACTTTATTATTTAATTAATTGCATTAAGAAATAAACTAATTATAATTAATAATAGAAATAATCAAAATTATGTCTAATTTTGAAAAAGAAGATGTTTTTAATAATCAATTGAAAGCAGAAGTAACTAAAGTAGCTCAAGGAATACTCGATCAAGAAATAAAAAAATATATTTACAATAATGTTGATGAATCTTAGAAAAAAAGTAGTACAATATGTGACACAATCATAATAAAATTGAAAGACTTAAATAATAAACACTTTAAATTCATTGTTAGTTGTCTTATACTTTAAAAAGCTGATTGTGGAATCAATCTCTCAGCTTCTTGTTATTGGGATAATAATACCGATGGATCTGTTGCATTAAAACAAGAGAGTGATAATGCTGTTTGTATAGTGAATATATTTGCTTGTGGAGTTTGAAAATAACATTAAGCATTATACATTAATATGCAAACTATCTAATCTATTTAATATTTTATTAAAAAAATGAATAAAAATGATTAGTTTAAATAAAATAAACTTTTTATACCTTCCTATAGAATCTGAAATAAATGAATTATGAAACATTAAATTATATAATTTCTAATAATAATTGTAGTTAACAATTTTGCTTTCAATTTTAATTTTGAAGAATCTAACATAATTGATTTTACAATATATATTTATCATCATATATGTTAATATAATATTAAATATCTGATATAAATGTTTTGGAAATTATTAATTATTAATATATTTTGTTAATTATTAGAGATAAGAGATTTACTATAGTTTGAAATAATTATTTATTTTATGATAAATAATATAAAATTTTGAATTAACTTTCAAAGAAATACTAGCTAATCTAAATAAATAATAAAACATATATGAATTAATATAAATTTTGATAATATTAAAAATAAGAATATTATTGGACACCAACTTTATTTATAACATCACGGGTACTTCATTACTTACCATCTCCTTCTTTTCCTTGATTCTCTTCTTCAATAGGGTTTTTTTCTTCTTTTTTTTCGTCAATAATGCTAAACAGAATTCAACTTTAAAAGTACGAGCCGGCAGAAGACTCTGAATGTTATGAGTCTTTTGAAGAGCCTCTTGATGAGGACTTTGATTTCCTTTTTGTACTCTTCTTCTTATTCTTTTTCTTATCTCTAGATGAACTACTTGATGAGGAATCTGAACTGGATGAGCTCCTCTTTTTTTTATGTTTCTTCTTATGTTTTTTTCTAGACTCACTAAAAATTATTATGTTTAATTCTTTACCTACTAGAGCTAGATGAACTTGATGATGATGATCTATGTCTACAATTTTTAGCACTAATAAAATGGTAAATGAATTAAATAAAAAATATATCGTATTCTAATATATAAAAAGTGAATGCTATAGTAAAACTTACAAATGTCCAGAGCGACCGCATGAATAACATAGGCCGTTATTTTTGCTCGGCTTATTTCCACGAGCCATCTCGACCTATAACACAGATCCTTTTACTTCTTCCTTATTCATTTTTTTAACAGCTTTCTCTGCATCTTCTGGGTCTTTAAATTCCTACAATTAATTCATTATAAGTACAATGAAACAATATTTTCCTTTCCAAGCAAATTCTTCAATTTTTCCAAATTTTTTGAATAGTTTTTTAATGTCATGTTGATCTTCTTTAAGAGAATATCCTGTAACATATACTCTTTTCTTATTCTTCTTTGGTGATCGCGACCTTGACGAACTTGAAGAAGACATTTTATTTTAAATAAAGGATACTTTTTTTAATATAATTTTTATACTCAATTTTTTTAATGCATTTCCATTTTTTCTAATTAAATTTTTAATAAATTAAACCTTGATACTATTTAATTATATTCTACACATGTATTTTTATATTTTCTTCTTACTTCCATAATTTCTCTGGCAAGAATTTTAAGTTTATCTTAATACAATCTAATATATTCATTATTTTTTTAGACTATAATTTAATTTTATTTTAATTAATTTTCCTTCATATAAATNTAAATAATATAAAATTTTGAATTAACTTTCAAAGAAATACTAGCTAATCTAAATAAATAATAAAACATATATGAATTAATATAAATTTTGATAATATTAAAAATAAGAATATTATTGGACACCAACTTTATTTATAACATCACGGGTACTTCATTACTTACCATCTCCTTCTTTTCCTTGATTCTCTTCTTCAATAGGGTTTTTTTCTTCTTTTTTTTCGTCAATAATGCTAAACAGAATTCAACTTTAAAAGTACGAGCCGGCAGAAGACTCTGAATGTTATGAGTCTTTTGAAGAGCCTCTTGATGAGGACTTTGATTTCCTTTTTGTACTCTTCTTCTTATTCTTTTTCTTATCTCTAGATGAACTACTTGATGAGGAATCTGAACTGGATGAGCTCCTCTTTTTTTTATGTTTCTTCTTATGTTTTTTTCTAGACTCACTAAAAATTATTATGTTTAATTCTTTACCTACTAGAGCTAGATGAACTTGATGATGATGATCTATGTCTACAATTTTTAGCACTAATAAAATGGTAAATGAATTAAATAAAAAATATATCGTATTCTAATATATAAAAAGTGAATGCTATAGTAAAACTTACAAATGTCCAGAGCGACCGCATGAATAACATAGGCCGTTATTTTTGCTCGGCTTATTTCCACGAGCCATCTCGACCTATAACACAGATCCTTTTACTTCTTCCTTATTCATTTTTTTAACAGCTTTCTCTGCATCTTCTGGGTCTTTAAATTCCTACAATTAATTCATTATAAGTACAATGAAACAATATTTTCCTTTCCAAGCAAATTCTTCAATTTTTCCAAATTTTTTGAATAGTTTTTTAATGTCATGTTGATCTTCTTTAAGAGAATATCCTGTAACATATACTCTTTTCTTATTCTTCTTTGGTGATCGCGACCTTGACGAACTTGAAGAAGACATTTTATTTTAAATAAAGGATACTTTTTTTAATATAATTTTTATACTCAATTTTTTTAATGCATTTCCATTTTTTCTAATTAAATTTTTAATAAATTAAACCTTGATACTATTTAATTATATTCTACACATGTATTTTTATATTTTCTTCTTACTTCCATAATTTCTCTGGCAAGAATTTTAAGTTTATCTTAATACAATCTAATATATTCATTATTTTTTTAGACTATAATTTAATTTTATTTTAATTAATTTTCCTTCATATAAATTTATTGATTCAAACTACTTATTTTTTCATTTTTATCTAATATAATCTGTTCTAAATCTTTTACTTTTTCACTATATTAAATATTATATAATAAATATACTTTAAAAATCTTTTTGCATCAGAATATAATCCTAATTAAGTTTTAAAATCTTCATATTGATCTTCAATTTATTTCTTTTCTTTTAACAAAAAGAAAAATTTTGTCATAATATAATAATTAAGTGATTGTAAATCATTTGCTTCTTATGTCAAATGTTATCCATAAACAAATAATGATGCTAAACATCGTTATAATTATGATAAAAACATTCCAAATATTGAAGAATCTTGAGCACACACTGTACTCAGATCATACAATCTAGTGATGATTTATTAAGCAAACATTTATGAAGATGTTGGAAATTATTTTCTCTATAATTAAACTTATTAGATAGTAGATTAGGGTTTTGGAAAGAATTGATTCCAAGGAAATTTCTCTTATAACAGACTCTATAATGCTGCTTAATAACTTTATGATTATTAAGTTAAATAACCCTCTAATAAATCCATCACTAGAAGTTTAAATGATATTTATTTTACAATCTTTATTATGTTAATTATTCTTTAAACCTATAAAATTATCACCATCTATTAAAGATTAACATTCACGTAAAGTAGGAATAATATATTCAGAGAAATTAACTTTTAATTCAAATTACTTTATCATAATTTCTCTAAGTTTTGGATCATCACTCTATTTAGTAACACTCTATTATATGATGTTTTTAATTAGAATACTTTAAATTCCTCATTTACACTTTACAATAACTTGTATTAATGATTTAATTTGGAACTGAGGGAATTTATTGCATGTGGAATTATTGTATTATGCGAAATTAAAGATAGATAGAGTTTACGATTACAAATCATTAGACTTTGATAATCCTTTAAGGACAGAAATTATAATATCTTATTTTTAACTTTTGATGCCAATATCAATTCAAAAGTTGTCATACTACCACCAATTAATACTTTTTCATCTATGAAGCCTTACCTTTTTATATTATTAAAAAATGTAAAATCTTTCTAGATATTATTTATTTGTTATTGTAAACCTTTATTTTGATTTTCATATCCATTACTTACTTCATTTAATCTTTATATTGTTAATTCTTATCTTTAAATCTTTTTATCTTTTTCAACAATTATATCTTTAAGTTATTAAATTTGATCATTCATTTATATGACTTTATCTTTTAACTCCTATCTTATTTTCCTAATTTCCTCATACAACTTAGTAATAATTTATTTAGAAATACTTGATTTGTCCTCTATTATTCAACAAGATAATGATTAGAATATTATTCTTGGTTCTTTTTTAATTGAGTCTTTAGATCATCATTTTATTTAAAAATAGATTTAATCATATGATGCTCTTGTCTTATATAAAGTATCCATTTTTTTAATTTATGCATAGCTGATCTAAGTAAATAGATTTTTGATCTTGGAATTGTAATCCATCTATTATTTACAATATCAAAATGATTCTAAAATATTTTTTCAAATGAATGATATCCTTCTTATTAATGATGATAAATAAATGGATTATAATCTTCTTAATCATCTGAATCATCCATATCTCTAATATCAGGTAAATTGAAATGGTTTATTTCTTAATCCATATAATAATAAATAAAATATACATATAATTAATCAAATTTCTTCCTCCTATTATTATTTTTGATTAAATTTAGCACTTATATAAAGTACATTATTTCCTCTCAATAATATTTATCCATATTTATTGATAAGCTTCTATTCTAAATATTCTTCACTATTATTTTATCATTTTAAAGATTACCACTATTCCAAAACAAGATTCATATTTCCATCTAAAGCAGCCAAAACACCTATATATTCTGTTCGATTATGTAATTTCACATTCACTGTTCTTCCAAAGACTTATTTAAAAAAGTCAGCTGATGTTCTTTTTTCATTAGACATTTAATTTTTTTAATTTATATGACAACTAAAAATATTAATTAGCTGAAACTGAATGCTCTCACATAACCTACATACTAAAATTTAAGAATCTCGAGAAATGCTGCTAAACAATAATTAACTTATAATGGATATAGTCCAAAATTAAAAGGAAAAAGTCCAAACTGTTCTTAATAATATATTCCAACCCAATTATCCTAAATAGGCTCACCACCTAAAGAAAAATTGTCTTCCTTAATTAATATATCATCATCAGAAAGAATTGCTTATTCATTTAAGATACCAACCTTAAGAATTAAATCAAAATGTTTTCTTAAGAAACATTCTACAACCCGTTTGGGAATGAGTTCATATGAAATCAATCTATAAACAAATCTCTAGTCTATATTTGTTTTCAAAGGATCAATTTAAGATATGAGTTAATTTAAAGTCATTCAAATGTAAAGAACAGAATTACAGACTAAATAATAAGATATTTACCAAACAAGATAAAATCTATTATAAAAGATGTAGATAGGATTAAATGTTCCTAAATTTTATAATTAATTATCTTTGGGCAATTATGAGATCATTTAGTTTACAGAGGAAATTCCATTAAATTGCAATACATTAATATTAAGTAATACAGTAAATAAGGACTTTTGGACAGTAATCTTAAATTATCATAATTTGTAATTTACTCTCGATAAATTTGTTAAACTTTTGACAATTATAAGTAATATTAATGATATCAATGATCTTTAAAAATTTATATTTGATAAAGACATATTTTATACTTATATGGAAATTAAAGAGTTAGTTCCTGATGAAACTCTATTAACAATGAAACGAAATAGTGAGGCAATGAAGGAATATTATAAGAGTATTCATGTTTATGACCATCAAAAATAAAAATTAATTGATGAACCTGCACATTAATTATATTCAGAAAGAATCATTAATTAATCAGAAATAGAAAAAGAGACTATAAGGGATTTTACTATTGCTACTACATATCCAAAACCTACTGAATTTTAATAAATTTTAGAAAAAGAAGGATATTACAATCCCAGTAAAAAGAGAACCTCTAGTAGATGTAAGTAATTAATACTTTATTAGATCTTAAATTACCAAATTTTAAAACTTAATATAGTGAGATATTAAAATAATAATCCATCAAATAAAAGAATCAGTATAATTATTTATTGATAACAGAAATTAGTACACAAACATCCCAGATCATATTGCTAGAAAGCTTCCTCATATGACTAATTATAATCTTCCTTTATTAATGTAAGAAACAGGATTTGATAGATAAGAAATTTATGAGGTTTACAGTAGGTATAAAGCATTGCTTAGTTATGAATGCTCTTAAATACCAGGATTGACTAAATAAAGTAATTTTATTATTTTTTATGAAGTGATACCAAATGGAATTTCAAGGGAAGCTTTTAATGCTGGTTTAGAAGAATTATCAATGGCACCTCCTGGAGTTGTTGATTAGATATTTAAGTTTTTTGCTAAATAAAATACTTTGACTTTTGAAGGGTTTTTGAAAGCTATTAATTTAATCAAGGCAAAAAGAAATGACAATAAAATAGAATTGATATTAAAAGTATTTTAATGTTAAATATTATAGTTAATAGATGAAAATGAAAATGGATCTTTGTCTTATGATGAAATTAAAAAAAGATGCATATTTATGATGGAAGAAATGTTAAAAGATTCTACAGGAGAGTTAAGTGTACCAAATATGGTTGAATATGTTACAAGATCAATTTTTGATGTGATATTCTAATTGTAATTATGTAGGCAGTAAAGATGAATTATGATTAAGAAATTCCGATTGAGAGGATACGAAAACTGATAGAAAGTAAAACTCATGAAGCTTAGGTATTAATTATGATGTGTTGTGGAGATGTCGATTATTTGAAATGATAACTCAGTATTTATTGAGATATTACATTATGACTCCTAAAATTCAATATCTATCAATATATTTGTTATATTTTTATTTATTTATTACTCTCAATTTTTCAATTTATTATATGAAATAAAAAAATTAATACAAATACAAATATTGCCACTAAAAATAACCTACTTTAAACTTTAGATTTGGACTTTTATTTTTTTTATTCTAATTCATCCTAAATATTCTTTTTTGATGATTTTGCCATTTATTCAAGTTTCTACTATTAAACTTATTGCTTCTACTCCTCGCATTTGCTAACTATTTATATTGTATATATTCATACTATATAATTTTATTTGTTTAGCTAATTTTCCATTGCCTTTCTAAATAGATTTTGGTTTTTAGACAACAACTGGTTATTAATATATTTCTTATTCTTCAATTATTAGTTCATCATTTTTTGGTGTTGCTTCCAAAACTTATGATACTTATTGTGATAATTATCCCAATGAAAATCTTTAGATTGAGCCACTATTCCTTTAATTTAATTCTATTTATTAGTATTAAAATTAATTTTTTTTTAATTAATTAAATGGAAACCTGTAACAAACTTTTATAATAACCTGATGTAATCTTAATAATTTTATGTTTTCGTTTTTTTCTCCCATATTATATCCATTTAATTTTAATTAGATCTATTATTTTGTAATTAGTTATTATTTCATCTATGATAGTTTAAGTTGATAAAAAAAAGTAAATTAAATGTTTAATTTGAATTTCTCCAATTTAAAAGCCAATAGTAAAGTTGCAGCTTCAATTTTTTTGCTCTTATTTTTCTTTTCTCTCAATTCATTTAATGCAAATCGTTTTGAGGAAACCTCCAAAATACTTTTGATTTTCTCAAATTTTTATGATAATTTTATTTGTTATTTTATTTAGTATAAACTATCTCTCATTATCTTAGTTTAAATTAAATATATCGTTTTACAAAGTTCCTTACCAGCAATTTGAGATTACAATTCTTAGATTATCTTTATTAATTATTAATTTTGTATGTTCTTTTCCATTCTTATATTATATAATAATAATTATTACCCTATATCTTTGGACACCATCCCAGGAGAATGACTTCTCTAAGGAGTTTTAAATATACTACTGCTATTGCTATAATCTATTGCACCTAATCGTAAAATCAATTGAAATGCTTCTTATTTTTATTGCTTATTATAAAAAGCTTACATTTTTTATAAATGTAAGAATAATTTCTGTGAGGCCATCAATAAATGGATTTATTCAAATCTTAAGGATAATTTACATTATTGATTCTAAACTATTTCTTATTTCATTTCTTAGTAAACTTTAAAAGATGATCGAATAATTTAGTTTCGCTATTTCTAATCATTTATAGATTTCTAATATAATTACAGGTGATGCAGTTAAATATGATTAAATAGTCACTTAGGATTTAACTGATGAAGCCTCAGATGGAACTGTTGTTTATCTATATTAGTGATAAGAATTATAATTTTTCATAATAAATTTTATGTGAATAATATTTATTATTTTATGGAAAACTCTTTTACAATATTCATAAACTTATTATGTATAAGCATACACATTATGAAAGATAAATTATATTCTAATTTTTTATTAATAAATATGAAAATTAATATCTTTTATAATGAATTAATTAAAAATGATAATCCTTTTAGTAAAAATAGAGATGGCATCTTACCTAAATGATGAATTCAATTTTATTATATAAAAAACAACTTAAGAATTCTTTTCTTTTAAACTTAGTATTTATAGAGTATTATTCATATTTAATTGAAATATACTAATAATTAAAACTATTATCTAATCCATTTAATAACTTAAAGATATATCAAAAAAGAGAAGAATTTATGAGTATTTACATAAATAATAGAATTGATTGTTAATAAACAAAATTTATGACACTTTGAAAAATTATGTTTTTGTTGAAAATTATAATTGTATAATAAACAATAACATCTATTATTAGGATATATACTTACATAAGATAGATGATAAAAAGCATTTTTTTTTAATTTATAGAGTGTTAAATTATAATTTAGATAAGTGAACAATATTTTTAATAAAATATAGAAAAACAACAGATAATAATCTTAATAGATTAATTATTTATTATTAACTATGTTTATAAAATGAATAAAAATGAATTTAAATGATATTTTTTTGTTTAACCAAGATATGTATTTAGTATATATTCTTGAAAATAGTTTTTATTTATAATTTCTTTTATAAATATAGAGAGAATTTTATTATAAAAAATGCCAATTAATTTTTTATTATCCAATGAATTTTGTTGGTATTCAAATGAATAAATAGGATTTGTAATATAAATATAACTATTTTAATATGATAAATATCGAAATATAAATAATTCAACTACTAAGTTATATTGACTTAATTTCTTTGTTTTATATTTTTACTCTATAAAAACTATTATATTAAAGTAATTTATACAAATATTGTTTAAATCCAAATATGTGTTCTCTTCCAATAAAATTACATTTATTTTAAATTATTGAAAATATCAAAAGAATAGAATTATTGTTGAGAAATAAGATAACTAAAATATATTAATTGAATCGAATACAGTATAATTTATAGATATAGTTTATTTAATAATAAATTAATTGCATTGCTAATGTTAAAATATATTTAAGATCAAGATTTTGGAACCTTTGAAACATTACCAGTGCAAAGATAGAAAAAAGTGTTTTGTATGAATATGCCAATGTAATAGCTAATTAAGAGTCGATCAGTTTCTTAAATTTTACATGATGAACTCATTACGTTATAAAAATCATCAGCAAGAAAAAAATAAAAAGAAGAATCATATTAAGAAAGAATTTCATCACCAATAAAACCTATAGAGATGTCATAATCTAATTAATCACTTCCTAAAATAAATTTATAAAAAACTTAAACAGAATAATTGAATAAAACAAAAAAGAGGATTAAAGTATTTCATAACATTTCAAAAAGACAACATGATTTAGATTAATGGAATTAAGCATTTTATTAAAATAGATCTATTAATGGATAATCTCCAAGAATATAAGAGATTAAAAGAGCACTTTAAGAATAGTTGAATGATGGAAAATCTTTAAATCTCAATTCAAGTAATTTATTGAAATTGAGTAGAACAGAAAGTCCAAAAAGAAGACCTAATGTAATTATTAATCTAAATTTAATAGCTTTAAACAGAAAAAACATTGAGAAATCTTTTATGTGAATATGTTTTAGATGATAAAATAGCTTTTAATGATTTGATACTAGATAATAATCGCTAAGTATAAGATCCTAAATATATGATTGAATAAGTAATTATGAACTATGAAATTCTTAAACAAATATTTCGTATAGAAAAAACAATTACAAAAATTATTTTAAAGACTCAAGGTTTAAGCAAGTAAATTTTATTATTATAAATTAAGAAAAATCATTCATACATTCTTTAAAGAAATTAAACCTAATTGTCCAAATGACATATCCTAATTTGAATATCATTTTAAATTAAGAAGAAATATCTCTAAATCATTAATTATCTCTAAATTTATTCTAGGAGTTGATCCTGAATTGGATCCTACTATAGAAAAATTATTAAATAGAGAAGCATTATCACCTGACATGCAATCCATATTATTATCACCTGAAGAACTTTTATAAAAAGCATTAGAAACATTAAAATTTGATTATGACTACTTAAACAAATTGAATTATTTCAATATCAACTTATAAGACTAAATTAAATAGAAGTAAGTAAAGGCTATCTAAAATAAATTGCTATTAAATGGAAGTATCATTGATTAAAGTAATCTATCGTTGGATTTCGAATAACCATCTAGTTTGCTAGCTAAGATTAATGATTGTGAAAGAAGGTTAGGCAAATTTCAAAAAATTAGCAATTAATCTAGATTTAAATGTTTGGAAGCTGAAGCATATTTATATTATAGGTGAACACTAGTTTACTATGATATATTATTTATTTATTTATTAAAATGTAATCTAGTTAAAGAATATATTACCTTCCAATAGGAACATTTTCTTAAACTCTCTTGTGCAAAATTTGCAATAATCTCACAATAGATCCAGTTGAATGTACTAATTGTGAAAATCTTTATTGTAAAGAATGTTATCAAATTTCTAAATCATCATATGATAAGTATATCTAATTATAACTTTGAGATGCCCAGATTAAAATTGTATTAGACCCTTTACAACCAAATAACCTCATCGTATTATTAGAGATTAACTATCAAAAATATAATTTCAATGTATTAACCATAAAGAAGGATGTAAAATTATTATGGCTTAAGAAAATGTTATTAAACATATGTCAGAATGTCCATATCAATAAGTTTCTTGTAAATGTGGATAAAACATATAAAGAACAAATCTAGAATAACATGTATATCTTTCTAAATTATTTAGAAAAATATATGTGTTTATTATTAAACCTAAAATTGTCTTGTGTGCAAATAAAATTTGAATATGGAAGAACTAAAGAATCATAAATGTTTATTAGAACTTTAATAATTAGTAAAATAATTATAAGAGAAATTTTAAGATTATAAAGAAGAGTCTAATTTTGCTATTATAGAAATTAAAAATTAATAGAATGAAAGAAATAATTAATTATCTTAAGCTAAATAATAATTATAAATTCTATAAGATGAAAATAAAAAATTATAAATTGAACTATAAACTAAATTATTGAAATTTAAAGAGAATATAGAAAAAATAGATTAATAAAGAAAATAATAAAATGAAATTTAATAATAAAAATAATAAGCATAAGTCATTTAGAATGGAGAATTGATTGATAGTAATTAAATGTTATGTGAAAAAAATCATAAATTAAGTTTTTGGAAAAAACCATAAGGTGAAGAAAAGAAAAAGAATTGTTTGAAATGTTAAAAGTCAAATACTACTTGTAGATATTATTGTCAATAATGTTTAATCTTTATTTGTTATAAATGTGTGTTTCCTGAAATAAAATTTGAAAAATAATCAATGAAACCTTACTGCCCTTCTAAACATTAAATGAATCAAATAAACGATGATTTTAGATGTTCTGCCTGTGACAAAAAAGGAGAAGACATGATTTAACCAATTGCTTTTTAATGTGCTTAATGTGAGTTCCGAATATGCTTATAATGTATTAAAAACAAAAAATTTCAAGAAATTAATTGAGTAAAAAATAAAGTATATTTTATATTCACACTATAATTTATATCTATATTTTTTATAGTTTCTTATATCAAAAAAAAACAAAGTTCATTATCAGGTTAAATAGAGAAAATCTTAAAATTAAATACAAGAAATAATGTTAAATATAAATCAAAATAAATCAAAAAAGTCAAGAGAAAGTTATGAAATATGGACATAATTATTATAAGATAGTTGTTTAGAACATAAAATTAGATTTTGAAAATAAGAATCAATTGCACATTTAATACAAGATTTTATTTAATAGATTATTTTTATATAATTAAATTAATAATATATATCCAGTATTTAATCAAAATTTAAATATACCTGACAAATTTTAAATAAAATTTTCATCAGAATTATTTCTTTATTTATCCTTCTCAAATTATATTTTATACCATGTATTTACATCAAAATTCTTCATTTCTATAAAATTTTATACTAATTTTAAAGCTTAAAAAGTATCTAATCTTTATTTAGGATCCTCTTTTAGAAATAATTTAATTAAATCATAAATTTAACCTTATTCTTCTATATTTATTAAACAATTTTGATTTTAATAATAAGTTGATTATTCTTTATTATATGGGAACACTTTTTTTAATGTTAATATTTCATAAAAAATACATCCAAGACTAAAAATATCTACTTTATAGTTATATGATTATATTGTTTTTTATGCATTTAAGACTTCAGGTGCACAATAACCTGTTGTACCACAATTAGGAAATTCATCTAATTATTTACCACAAAAGCATGAAAGACCAAAATCAATGATTTTTATTTTGTTATAATTATACATGATATTTGAAGGTTTAAGATCTCTATGTATTACACGAGATTAATGAATTTGTGTTAATCCTTTCAATACTTACTATAAATATTTTTTTAATATAATATACCTCAACAATGTATAATGACTCTTATAAAGAATATGGAGTTTTTCTTGTTGATAATAATTATTGTAAATTATATCCTTCTATAAACTCTGTAACAATAAAATAAGATTATTTATCTTTAAATACTTCTTTTAATTCTAAGATATTCTGTGAATAATAGTTATAGATGGTTCTTAAAATATTAATTTCATTTTTTATAACTGGTTATGAATTTTTTTGAATTTCTAATTATTTTATAGCTACCTACTTTTAAGAAAGTTTACAAATACCTAACATAACCTAAAAATATATTTAATTTACTTTTCCAAAAGATCCTTTTTCATTCTTTTCATTCAGAATATAAAATTTTTTGATATTATCATATATTACTAATTATCCCATTTTTTCTCTTAAATATTACATGTCGCTTGCTTTTCCATAAAATTCCTTAACTTTTCCTCTATAAATTAAAGTGAATCCAATTATATTTTATTAATCTAATAACCAAGTGAACACAATATCCAATCCCAAAAGTTATGTATATTTTGGAGACTTTTAATTAGGACCCTATTTAAATAACACTTACAAAAATTACATCACTCAAAGTTAATGAATGAGAAGTTAATGATAAATAATATTATCTGTCTTTAAAAAAATGCTTTCTAATTACAACACAAACTGCTAAAATATTGTTTGGGGAACATTGTGATGTTGTAATTTGATAATTATTCATTAAATTAATAATTATTTGATTCAGTAATTCTAAATGTTAATGTAAATGTTGCTAAGAATAAAATAACTCTTAAACTCTTTAATTCTTTTCCTAAAATCATAATTTTTAATATTTGTTCTTTAGTTTTGAAAATATTCTATATTACTATTAAAAATTATCAATATTTTTTAAAAACATGATGAATAATATCAAATAAGAATTATGTAATATATTCAAGTTTTTTCATATAAAGTAATTTAATAATTCAATAAATCAAAGATAATGTCAAATTTTTCAAAAATATCGATACTAACTTATTTTATAATAATCTGTTAATAATTAACTGAGAAAACTGCAAATCATTAAAATTTTAATTATTTAACTATTAAATAATTACAATATTACTATTAATTATAATCATAATATTTATTAAATCAATTAACCTTGTCTAATCAATTATAATTAGATATATTATTTTGTATAATTTTATATTAAATGATAATTGAATACTTAAAATATTTAGCTTTCATATAATTCTAATATCGTTTAATTTTAAATTCTTATAAGAATACTAACATATATTATAAATTAAGATAATTTATTTAAAAATAGAGTCGTTTATTTTGTAAAGTTTATTTCTATAAGTTTTTGTATTTTTACAATAAATATTAATTCATTAATTTTCATATTATTTAATTATCCTGCATTCATTTATGAGGTAAATAAATTCAAATAATAAATTTATTTTAAATTATCCTACATAATAAATGTGATTAAAGAGTATTGACTAATTCTAACTAGCTATATTATAAATGGAATTTAAATTAATTGAATCTTCTGATTGTAAATCTAATTTAGAATGTATTTCTTATTTACAATAATGATTTAAAAAGGACTAAGAATCCTTTAAGAAAATTATTTAAGAGATATGGTTATTAATAATATCAGTGATATATTCAATTTTTATAATGGTTGTTATATCAATAGTTGTCCAAGAATCAAAATTTCATCTCTTTATTATTATTTTAATTTTTCCATTAAATTTTTTTTGTTTTATATTCCTCTAAAAATTCTTAGTTTTTTTAAATATAAATTGTGTAAATTAATGTATTTTGATATTTAATTGAATTCATTAAGATTTGATGAAAAATTGGAATTATTTTTAATTAAAAAAACAAACAGTTTCATACTTAAAATATAACAGCAATGTTAATCTTGAATACAGATGAAGAATATAATTTAGTTTAAAATTACAATAATCATATATAATATTAAATGTAATTTATGAATAATTAATAAAATATATAAGAATAAAAGTTCTAATTCTAACAGTTAGAGGTATAAAAAATAATATCATAATTTTATAATGTCATTGTTTTAATAGTTTATGATTCTATCAATATAAATTAATAATTTAAAAGAGTTTTGTGATTAAGTCGAAATATAATCTAACATTATATATATTATAAATTAATTATTAGTAATGACTGACTTACCCCCTATTCCAAATTTAAGAAAGCAATCGTTACTTGGAGCTGAAAATATCATGGCTCAAACTCATAATTTTATATCTCTACCTTAAAATGTGGAGAATATTAAGCATTAAAAGTAAATAGTTATTTATATAAAAGGCGAAACTTCAATCTGAAAGTAGGTGACATAATCTATTTTAAATCCTATTTGAGTGATGATTTTAAAGGAGTGATATCTGGTGATGGAATTGCAAGCAATAAATTAGAATGTATTCAGATATTAGGTAAAAATAAATTATAAGACGTCTAATCTCAAAAAAGCCTATAATGCAAAGTTGGCAGTTTATCATTCTAAAAAAGTTTATTTTAAATCATCACAGGCTAAAAATACTTATATTAAAATTAATACAAGGAAGAATAATAGAAACCTATTGACTAAATTAGGGATATAGCTGCAGATGAGACATACTAAATGGAAATTGATAAATTGACTTCTGATTATGATAAAAGATTAGAAGAATTTCAAAAAAAGAGTGATGAAGAAATAAATGAAAATTAAAGATTATATGATCATCTTTATGGAACTAATATTGTTTATGGTTAAGAAATATAATTATTACATATTTATTCAGGATGTACACTTTCTCTGAATAGTGATATCTTAGCTAAGGAAAATTGTTGTAGAGAATTATCTTTAGAAGAACAACCAAATTTAAATTCAAACTTTAGAATTTTATCTATGAATTCTGTAAAAAATCCAGGTGAACCAATATTGTATGGAGATTAAATTATTGTTTAAAATTCAAGTTAATCTTAATGGAATTTAGGTATACAAAAACCATCCTTAAAATTTGAAAGGAAAGATGGACTTGAGGTAAATGCATCAGAATAAGCTTATCCATTAAAAATTTCAAGTTATATTGATAATAAAACAGAAGAAGAAATCAATAAATAATAAATAAAGGGAAAATATTTATAGAGTGGTGATGTTGTAACTATAAAAAATAGATATTTGGGAGGTTATTTATGTATTAAGAGAATATAAAGAATTACTGATGGATTAGATAAGAAACCATTAATTATTAAAGATTATGAGACTAATATTAATTATTCAATTAATCAATATTATTTTGATGTTGATAAAATAAGAAATGAAAAAATTAATTAAATGTATTAATTATTTGTTGATACTACACCTAAAGCAGATGAAAACTTAAATTCTCTATGGTAAGTTTAGCATGTTGATAGTTTAATATATTCAAGACCAACTTATGAAAGTGTATTTCTAATTAGACATGTTTGTACTGGATTATTTTTACATATAACAAATTAAGGAGTTGGATTAACATATGATGGATTAAAAATGGAATGTTAAGTTAATTTAAAATCAAAAAAAACATCAAATGATTCTATTTCTTATAGTGAAGCTTGTAAAATATAATCTGCAATGAATTTTTCAATCGATAATTATGTTGCTTAAGAAAGTGTAGTTATTGTTTGTTTAGATGAAAGTAAAGTGACTGTGTAAAGAAAAAGCTAAAAATAAAATATTGAAAGAGCAACTTTTCTATTTAAATAAACTACTTAAGATCTTTCTAAAATATCATCTAGACTTAATTCACTTTAAGAATATTTAATTAAATTTTATATATTCTTATAGGATTGGGGAATAGTAAAATCTATAGAATAAAATTAAGAAGAAAAAAGAAAATATGAATATTATGAAGCTTTTAATAATCAAAAATTATTATTTGATGAAATATTATAACTCTTTTAAACTTTGGATAATCTTAAAATGTATTTAACAAATGAAGGAAAACCTTAATCAAATGAATAATAACAAAGTAAATAAAAGGCTTTAATGGATAATGATATTATTAATCTACTTTTTGCAATTTAAAGATTGTGTAATTGTATGAT